CCTATTAGAATTATGAAGATACAAGAACCAAATTTCATCTGAAGTGGGGAAATAAAAATGGACCTAAACCTGTAAGAAACTAGGGGAGGCTGATAAAGAAGGAAAGTTACATACATAACGAGACTGATTATTAACCCAGAGTCAGTTCATTTAAATCCACTTCTCTGATCACATAAGATGATCCCAAAGAGGCATTTCTATTTAAATATTTTTCAGATGCATACTTACATATACATCACTTGATTTAGTTAGCAGCATGATTTTATTGCAGAGCAAATGGAAAATGGCATAAAGAAAGAATTGAAGTGTTGAAATAAATTCTGGTGAAAATGTTTCCTGGGATTGGAGAAGTATGTGATGGGATGTTGGTTTACCACAAATGCTGTTTAATTCAAATACTGTGGCAAATATAAATCTTTTCCACTTGCAACTAAACTCTTTTAATTTGCAGGTGTCGCATTATGGAACAGTTTTTAAACTACAACACAGTAATTCTATATGAAGAACCCTTTATTAGACCTTGAGGTTCAAAATGAATTTAATTGTGCTCCGTGTAGAAACTGTTCTAGCACCTTGGCTTAGAAAAGTCTCAGTGCACCTGGCATGAATTGATTTTCCTAAATTCTATAGATTCTTGCAAAAAGAGCTCCTTTAATGGTAGGATACATTTTTCATGAGTTAAGTATTCATCCTGATCCAAACCAGAACAACCCATAATAGTTAATTTTATGTTGCTGGGCCTACCCTATGAAATCCAGACACAGAATCTTTGTTCATGCAGTCACATATACAAAGGGAGGAAATTTTAGTCTTGTTTGAGAAAAACAACATTTGCCTCTTTATTTAAGCCAATCAACCAACAATTTTGCAAAACCACATGCTAGAGCCCCAAATAGTCTGCTGAGATCCAGACTAGAGAATAACTATAGCATGCAGAAGCCATCATTTCATGGTTTGGGAGATGTTAAACTATGGTTTGCCACAAAAGCATACTACATTTCTTGTTTCCTCTCACAAGCACAAAAATCCATAACGTGTAAAGCCATACTTTCTCATTTACTCAACAAAGAATGGTTAAGCAAAAATTGTTGCATGAATGCAGCTTGTGTATACTTTGCATACACATTATATTTTCCTGTCTTCTTGTTTTTAAATTTAAAGATAGGATATGTGGGATACAGACAGGCCAATGGAGAAAGAAACAGGTACAGTTTAGAATGCAGTACTCTTTTGCATTGGATCATCAGATCACAAGCCACATTGTCACTGGATTTACACATAATGCTAAGTCATAATATGTTTTGTTTGGCTGTGCTTTAATGTACTGTATGAATCCAGTCACTGTGTTTATAGATGGTAGTTTATGGCGTTCTTAAATAAATCATGCTTAAGTAAACCATGTCTTTGCCTCTGAACAAGCCTTTGAAGTAGTACCTTGCTCTTCCAGAAATTTTCAATCACAAAACATTAACATGATCAGAATTCTGGAGAGGAAGCAGCATCATTTTGTTCTGTTCTTAAAAATTAGACAGCAAAGAGACTCAGGACAATCTGATAAGGTTTATAGATTATGCTAGGCCACTATACATTGTTTGGTTTTGACTTAGCAGTGTGTGGATCTAGCCACTGTGATTTGTAAACAATGGTTTATGGCTCAAAATTGGGAATTAGTTGACAAATCATGGCTAAAACTCTGAATCTAGGCATCTGCACCACTGCTCCAAATATACAATTGGCTAAGATACCCTTATAAATAAAATAATCAGTTCTGTTTGATTCAGCGTTTCCTATAATATTAATTTAAAAATAATTTTTATCCTTAGCTGATTAAAGTTCAGCATGTAGCCTAAACCTAACACATGTAGCTTTCATATGAATTTCCCATCCTCCTCATGCAAACATTGAAAATCTGAGTGTCCAGCTCTTTATAAAAAGCAATTCATATGAACTGTATAAAATTACTAAATATCAAGTTACTTCTGAAATGGAATTATACTCTCAGAAGACATCCTTCAAGAGCACAATGCGTAAAACAAATTCCAGATCATAAAGTTTACCTTCCATTGTAGATAATATGTTCCACCAACAAAATGTTTGCTTTTTATGTGTAAAGAACAAAAGAAAATTACTCGATGTTCAATTTTGCTAATAAATAAAAGGTAACTTGCTCCTTTCTAGGGCAAGCTGTTATGCAACAATGAATCTCTGGTTGCTTAGCTTTAAAATAAAGTGGAAAGGTGCTGTTTCAATAGCCTGTTTCTCATCTTACATATTCCAAATAAATTGGTTGATTTCCAAATACTCTTGTACTTAAAATAGCTCTGTCCTGTCAATACCTGTTCATGACATGACAGTGTTGTCAGTTTCATACATTCTATTATGATTATTTTGCCATAAACTGAAAATAAGGGACAAGAACAGTTTGTTCAGTGATACCAGAACAGAAGATGTGTGCTGTGATTATGGATTACCAGAAATGTTTTTGAAAAATGGAAACCAAAGAATGTGATTACAGATGAGGGACATAAATGTACCTGAAGCATTACCCAAAGATGAGCTCTGTTGCATCCACTATAAGGGGTGATAAAAGACATTACTGCCTTTTCTCAAAAGGAGTTATTCCTGGACAAGGAGCACTAGAAGATAAGGCTAATAGCAGCAACATTACCTTTCGGTATGACTATGCTGAGCAGACATCTCTGGCACTGTTTGGCCCAGTCAGCCCTTCAGCTGCTAGATATCAACAGACATTTTTCAGCTAGACAACATCTTTTCTCCTTTCTGTACTTTCTTAAACAGGGCAATCCTACAGTGTGTGGAAAGAAAGGAAGGAAACAAGGCAGGGAAAATTTCTTTCCCAATACATTGCTAGCTTATGGTGACAGGTGGGTGGCAGGCATAGGTGTTGTTGTTTTTTCCTTTTCAATTTGACTGTTTTTGTACCTTCTTACTTTCTCCTCCCACAGCTTCTAATCAGAGGAAAATGAACTATGTCAAGGCTAGCACAGTTCTTCCTCGATGGAGCCTACAAAAGTACAAAAGATCACTTTCTGTTGGCTCACCTCTGGCATGTGTGTGAATGTCAGAGTATCAATGGCTACAGACTTTTCGGCAGGCACAGGAAACATGCTTGCAAGATCCTTTCAATGTTGAATCTTTTTTTTTAACAATGGAGAAGGTAGAACTTGAAAGATCTAATGGCCCTTGGAAAACCCTATTGTGGAAACATAAACTACAGTCTAGAAGAAACAGACTTTTCTTTTCAAAGCACTTACTTACCTGTTTTTATCTGTTGCTGCTATTCAGAGGAAGGCTTTTTTTAAAAACTAAAAAAGCATGTAATATTTAAAGAAAAACAGTAAGCGATAAAGGCCTTTCATCCCCTCTCTTAAGGCGCTTCTATGAAATATCTTGGTTACATTGGGGAAGCAGACAAATCTTTCCCCCCCCCCCAAGGACTCAAACTGAAAACAGAGGAGTGGGATGAAGATGATTTAGGAGATTAATGGTAGAAATCAAGTAATAAAGAAAAAAGAGTCCAACTGTTATCAACCTCATCCTTTTATCCTCTAGTATATCAGATTAAGAAGCTTTACTATATTATACTGTACACAATCAGGATATTAAACAAATCAATGACAGACAAAACCTTCACCATTTGGGTTGCCTATATCACCTGGAAATAAAAAAGTAAAATTCTAAACAGTATCAACCCTAAGGGATTGGGAAAAGAATTGTGCAAAAGTGTATCCTAAGCAATTCTCCAACAACAAACAACTCTTTTTGCTATATAATATTTTCATTATATGGACTGGGTGACATTCGCAGCATTTTACCAGTTCAGATTAAAATTTAGGAACTATAATTTACTATTGTTAATTTGATCAACAGACATTTTCCCTGTGGTAAATATTTTTTTGAGTTGGGAACTAAAAACTAACAAGAATTGTAGCTTAATTATTAATGCAATCTAGTTTATGACAAGAGCATATGACTCTTAGTAAATTCACAACCTTAATCCTTTTTGCTTATGAACTATATCAACAATACACAAATCACTTGTTTATAAAAAGTGGAGATTTACTTTTAGAATTGAATAATATTGAAAAGTTATTTAGGATCTATTTTGATCCAGGGCTCATGACTCTATTTGCTTTTACCTGCTTGAAATTCTGTAGCATCAGCCTGGAATTAAATTAGTTTAAAAAAAAAAAAAAAAACCACTCATTTAAGGCTAGAAGAATGTAAAGAAAGCCTTCTTCCTCTCAATGGACTTTATAGTTTCTCCTTCCAAATTCTGCTGTTAAAAAACAGTGTTTGGAGTCTTTAAGGGCTTATCATAAAGCACATTCCACTGAATCCTGCTATATTTATCTGACACACAAAGCCATGAGGCTGTTGAAAAGAAGTTGACTGAGCTAACAAGAGGCAGAGTTTCATTTTCCAGAAGCATTCATTCTCCACAGGGTAAAACCACAAAAATCCCCATTCTTCCAATCTGATGTTAGCAGACTGGTTGATGACTGTCAATGAAATTTTGCCTTTGAATGCCATCATGTGGGCATGTTGCCCACCACAAAACTGCCTGCCCTGATACCCCCGAAGAATGGATCTACAATGAACTCAGATGCTCTCCAGCCAAAATAAATGCTTGTTGTTTTGCTTTCCAAATCCAACGATCCCCCTGGACAAAAATATGTGTAAGGCAACCACATTCCCCCTCTTCTCTTTTTCTTCAGGGAAGTTTGATCCGTCCATCCCAGAGTCCTAACTCCAGAGGCTAAATGGGGCGGGTGGGAGGGGAGATATGCCATAAGGATCCTTTTCCTACCGCCAATATATAATAGCTTCAGGCACACACCAACCCAAGAGGCCACCACGACACCCCAGCGAGCCCGGTACGCCCGTTGGTAACGGGAAGAGCGGACCTTCCCCATCGGAGGCTGAGGCGAGATGAGGTGGGGGACGAGGGAAGGCGATGCCCAAGGTAGCCTCCTCACCTTTCGAAAAGCATGCGGATCATGAAGATGCAGAAGGCCAGGGGAAAGGCTAAGTAGAGATCTTCCACCTGAGGGAAGGTGGTTTCTTCGGTGTTCTTCAGATCCGCCCAAGTGACATTGTGTGGCAGCCAAAACCTCTCGTTCCAGAACCAAGCCAGGATCCCTGCCATCTTTGCTTTGTTTGGCTCAGCCTCCCCACCACCACCACCTTTTTTTGCTTTCCTCCCGTTTGCCGCCGCCGCCGCTGCTGAAGATGCTCAGGAGCGCGGGGGTATCCGCCGAGCTTAACGTGCCTTAAATCTGGCCGGTCAGCGGTACTGATGCTATTCTAAATCCCTCCCTGAGCGGCAGCAGCCACAGCCAAACTGGGCCCGCCCAGCCTGCCAGCTTGCCAGCTCAACGAAGAGGCCTCCTTGCTTGTCACAAGTCCTTCAGGAGGCGCCCTCTGATTGGCTGCTGGGATTGTCAACCAGCTGGAAGCAGGCAAGTCCTAACGCTCCCGCTGCTGCTGCTTCTGCCCTCCCCCTCCCCCTCCCACCCCCAACCAGCCCGACCCTTCCTTGTTCGACCGCAGAAGGAACGGAAAGATGGGTTCAAGCCGGGCAGATTTCCTTCCTTGAATGCTGGAAGTTGGGTTTTGTGTGAAACCTAACGCGGGGGGGGGGGCGAGATCTGATGGGGTGATTTATGTTACTTGCAACGAATCGAACATTCTCGTTCTTTGCAGGAAAAACGAAGCGTTGCCTGTTAGGTTGGGAATAGGTGTGTGTTTAGGAGGGGGGAAGGAAACGAGATTGGTGGGCAAACCACTGGAATAAGGTCACATGGTGGAGAAAAATAACAGGACATAACGAAATGTAGGAGCCGATCTGGTTGGAGCAAAATATGGAGCATGGGTTCCTCCTAAACTGGTGTGCATGGTCTTCTGCTTCTGTGCCTCGTGGAGCTGTACCCTCTCCCTCAAAAAAATGAGGTCGCAACAGCAGCTTTGGCAGCAAAAGTCAGTTGGGTCCTTATGGGGTGTGCTCTAATTCGCATTGCATTGAGAAAACTAAACCAAACCACAGAGTAAGCCTGTACTGCCAAAATAATTTTTGCTGATGGAGAAACACCAGAGCCCTAAGGGTAAGAGGAGAGGCCAACTGACTCAGCTACAGCGCTTATGGATAAAGCTTAGGCATCCCTGGCTGGAAGCAAACATATAAAACATGTTTTGTACCCTCATGAGGCACGAAGAATTGCACTTGTGGCAGATTGCTGGGAGATTGGTACAGAAGGGAGTTCAGCGACATCATTTTGACTCAGTTCCTGGTTTGCTGCAGATTCTTGTGTGTCTTGAGAAGGCTTTAATTGCATGCTAACTCACCAGCTGTGTTCCCCCAAGACACTAAGCACCTATAAAGAATTCATGATGGTGTCCCCTGAAGCTATTTCATTACATGATTCATTAACAGGGCAGAAATCTCCCTGAAGCTCGTGGTGTTATGTGAATCTGGAGAAGCCATAGTTGCTCATTTGCAGAAACTAGAATTTAAAGACTTGTTTAAGTTTCAAACATGGGCTATTCTTCAATCCAAATAGTGTTTGTTTACCTCCTAAACCTAGAGCGATACAGGGTTTCCCTCATTCTACTAGGCGCTCAAGACACAGCATAAAACTCACTCTTCCAGTTGTTCCTACTATAACCCTTGAAGCATATTGAACAGTCATTCAGTCCTAATACAGAAACTTCTCCACTATTCTTTACTGGAATTATTTTCAATTGGATGGCATGCTGAGCTTCAGGTAAATTTTTTAACTTGAACTAATAATCACAATGAAGGTTCAAAGAGGAGTAAAGATTAGTTCATAAGCTTTCTTGTTATTCCTTTCGGGTGCACTTGCAGCATGTATAGGAACACGGTCATAGTCTTGAAACTTAATCTAGTTCTAGTCTGTTTTGAAATCTGAACTAATATAATATGACATTACACTACTATTTGAAATTGTTGGTTCTTCATCCTCAATTGTTACTATCGAACTAAAAGATGTTTTGCACAATATAAGTTCTGCACTCTATTTTTTCAAAGCAGGTGTATATTTAAATCTCACTGTTCACTGTTGAAGCAACTCTGGGCAGTATGCACATATATATATATTAAAAATTACATTAAAAATTGAGAAATAGCGATTCCTGGGTACATACATTACAGTAAAAAAGAAGTGATCACCAGGAAATAAAACACCAAGGTTTTAATAAATAAAATCAAGCTTTCGATGGCTAACATCTGCTATCATTGTCAGGATAGAAGCTAGCTAGTGAGGAAACCTGCTTATAAGGATAGCCACGCCTAAACTCTACGCATGGACCTTGTAACAGGTCCAAGCCGACTAATCCTTACTTCATTTCCAACTCAATAGTGCAGAGGACCCTTTAACTTTGGGAAACACATGTTGCCTATATGACTCGGGAACTGATTGGGTGGGAGCTTGGCTGTGTTCTGATGGGTGGAGGTGTGTTCTGATTGGTTAGGGGTTTGGCTGTGCTCTGATTGGATGGGGGATTGGCTGTACTCTGATTGGATGGGGGAGAGTTCTGTTTGGGTGGGGGCTTTGTTGTGCTCAGGTTAGTCTGAGCTGCAGGGGGATTTAAGATGGTGAACTGCCTTGCTATTTTTTGGCTTCGCGTTTGTGGTCGTGCCTCATCTTCATGGTGGGTGTCAGTTTGCTTCATGTATGGATTAGAGGGGTTTAAAGTGGCTAATGATGCAACTGTGGTCTGTCTTCTGGTTTGTGGTCATCGAAACGTCGCCTAGACACTTCCAATTTTACGCAGGAGAAAACCCGAATAACCAAAGACCTACATATATATATATATATATATATATATATATATATATATATATATATATGTAGGTCTTTGGTTATTCGGGTTTTCTCCCATGTAAAATTAGAAGTGTCTTGGCGATGTTTTGACGAAGTCTCATTCGTCATCTTCAGGCTGGTGCTTTCGGCTTCGTGCTTCTAGGAGCAATGTGTGATTGTAGCTGTTTCCTCCTTTTAACTGCCAGTGGGGGTATGAACTGATTGGATGAGAGCTTGACCTACATACAAACACCTGCGAAAACCTCAGAAAACAAATATCGAACCTCTATGGGGAGGAAATCCACCATCTGACCAGGACCTATAAAAAACATGAAGTCCAAAGAGCTTCCATTTTATGTGACCTCGCATTTCTGCGCAACTGCCGAGGTCAAGATTTAATCCCCACATGTTTCCAACTGAAATTCCACTCCAACTGTGCAGCTACCAAACACATCCTGAAAAGAACAGAATTGGTCCTAATCAGAAATGAACTTCACACAAAAAGATTCCTCCTAGACCGAATTAATAAAGATCTCCTCACACTTCACCTCAAACTCAGCAACAAGATCCACTCCGCACTTTGGGACAAATCCAAACAACTCGCCATCTGGAGAGCCGAAACACAGACCACCCTCAAGACAGACACACAGACCAACAAACTCCGAAGACTACAAGAACGCCAGAAACAAAACCCTCCTCCCTCACAGCCACACATGAAACAAACAGTGCATAACATCTCAGATAGGATCCTCACCAAAGCTGAAACCAATGTCCTTTCCAAAGGATTCAACTTTGCAGTCGCTCCCAAACACATCCCCACTGAAACCATTATATGTGAAGTTGAAACCAGCCTGACCAAAATCAACCCCGATGACGCTAACAAAATCAGACTCAAAATCACCAACATCCTCTGCACCAGCAAGCCACCCAAAAGCAACTTACCCAAAGAGGAACAGACAGCACTACGTAACCTGAAAGAAGACACCAGCATAATAATCCTACCAGCAGACAAGGGCAACGCCACGGTGGTTATGAACACATCTGACTACCAAACCAAATTAACCAACCTACTCCAAGACTCCACATACAAACCCCTAAATACAGATCCCACCACCTACCTGGAAAAAACCACCAGATCCAAAATAAAAGCCTCCCCCATTAGCGAAGAGATCCAGCAAAGAATCATTCCCAGAGATAAATCATCCAGATGCCCTAAGCTCTATGGTCTTCCCAAGATACACAAAGAAGGAACCCCACTTAGACCCATAGTCAGCTCCATAGGCTCACCTCTACAAAACCTATCCAAATTTCTTGCCAAACAACTACAGCCCTAAGCAGAATCCATCACCTCACATGTAAAAAATTCATTCCATTTCTTAGAGATCATAAAGAAACAAAACTTACAGACCAGCGACCTACTCGTGAGCTTCGATGTCATATCCCTGTTCACCCAAGTACCAATCAAAGAAGCCTTGACAGCTATCCAAAACAAATATAACCCCCCAAAACACACCTAAATCTGACCAACCATTGTCTATCCAACACATACTTCATCTATAATGGACAAAAATACAAACAAACAGAAGGAGCACCCATGGGATCACCCCTCTCACCTGTCATTGCCAACCTCTACATGGAACACTTTGAAACCCAAGCTCTATAAAAATCGGATCACAAACCCAAACTCTGGCTCAGATACGTAGAAGACACCTTCATAATCTGGCCACATGGGAAAGAAAAACTGGACAACTTCCTCACACACCTCAACAGCCTACACCCCAAAATACAGTTCACCATGGAAACAGAAGCTAATAACCAACTTCCCTTCCTAGATGTCTTAGTCTACAAGAAATCCAATGGCTCCCTAGGACACACCATCTACCATAAGAAAACAGACACAAACCGCTATCTGCATGCTCTCTCACACCACCACCCAGCACAGATCAACTCCGTAGCCAAGACACTCATCTCTAGACCAAAACGCTTAGCTGATGAACAACACCTAAAAACCGAACTACACACTCTCACCAATGTACTTACATCCAATAGATTCCAATGAAATAAGATTACCAAACTAATCCAAAAAGAAACCCCCACTAAAACCCAAGACAGAGAACAAGAAAACGGCGAAGCCCTCCTCCCTTACATAAAAGGCACCACAGACAGAATCATTAAGATCCTCCACAAACACAACATTAAGACAGCATTCTGCCCAAACAGAAAAATATCCACCATCTTAAGAAACCCCAAAGATAAAATTGAATTAGAAAATCAAGGAGTATACGAAATCCCATGCACCACTTGTCCCACCACATACATCGGACAAACCAACAGAAGAATAAGTGCATGCATTGAAGAACATAAGAACTCACTCAAAAAAGAGGAACCAACTTCTTCCCTGGTCCAACACCTTAAAATCACAGGACATGAAATTGACTTTAAAAAGATCAGAAATATCGCCAAAACTGAACATTTTAATAACAGAATAATCAGAGAAGCCATCGAGATAGAAAAACGCCCACATAGCATGAACAAACGAGATGATACCTCCCGCCTACCAGCCATTTGGAAACCCGCCCTTATTGACAAATGACTCCCTAACACAAAAAATGACACC